CTTTATATACTATATGGTTACTTTTCTGTCGAGTCAGAGTATAATGTCTCTTAAGTAGTGTGCCCTGCCTTGAGACCTCTCTGGTGGGTTAAAACTTGAAATGATTGGCTGATAAATAATGTTTTTTTATATTGGTCCGATGTCCTTACGATGATTATGTCATTCATAGAGGTTTTATTTTTGTCTTTTTGTGTTATTTGAAACAAGAGTGGGTTGCTCTAGTCTTGGGTTCACCCCAAGAGCAAGATGGGGAGTTCTTGGAGGGAGGGATGCCGAGCGTCTATCGGAAACAGCCTCTCTATCCCACTTGTGGGATTATACTGTGTTGTTGTTGTATGTTATTTGGTCACCAGGTAAAGATACCTTGTAAAATGTTTGTGGACTTCACTGGGGTTTTTTCTCAGATATTACCTAGCAGTAGTGTCAGGTCTCTTATCCTAAGAAATTCATTAGTAATTTGGCCGCTGCTGCATTTGCTTTTCTATTTTGCTGCTACATTTAATTATTCATGTAGAATAGTTTCTAAGTTGGCTTTATAGTGTTCCATTGCGAGAATATTCCCTTATGATTATATTAATGTTGTTTTGCAGTTTTCTCCTGCTTGATTGGATTTGATCGATCTGCCCCTTGAATTGATTCAGAACTATCGTGATCATACTCCATGAGTAACCTCAAGCTTGGGATTGAAGTTGTTAGTGCCCACAATCTCCTGTCTAAAGATGGGAAGGGCTCATCTAGTCCCTTTGTAGAGCTTCACTTTGATGGCCAAAAGTTTCGCACCACAATCAAAGAAAACGATCTGGACCCTTATTGGAATGAAACTTTCTATTTCAACATTTCTGATCCTAATGACTTGTCCAGCCTCGTACTTGAAGCTCTTGTTTACAACAATAACAAAGCAAGCAATTCTAAATCATCTCTTGGGAAGGTTAAGATCAATGGATCGTCCTTTGTTCCATACTCTGATGCTGTTCTTTTGCATTACCCTTTGGAAAGGGCAGGCTTGCTCTCCCGTGCTAGGGGAGAGCTTAGCCTGAAAGTCTTTATAACTGATGATCCATCAGTTAGGGTATCAAACGTGTTCCCTGCAATGGATTCTTCAACACATATCAGTTCCCTTTCAAGCCTAAGTGATGAATCTAGACAACAAATTCCAGAATTCACACCTGAACCCGTTGCTAATGGTAGAAAAGAGGCTAGACGCACATTCCACCACCTGCCAAACTCAAAGCACCAGCAACAGGAGCCGTATTCTTCCTTTTCAGGTTCCCATCAATCAACAAGATTTGGGTCTGATCAGATGAAATCTACCTCTCAGGGGCCGAAAGTAGTGCGGATGTACTCGGGTTCATCTTCACAGCCAGTTGAATATTCACTGAAAGAGACAAGCCCTGTCCTTGGAGGAGGGCGTATAGTTGGGGGCCGAGTTATTCGAGGTGGCAGGCCATCCAGCACATATGACCTTGTTGAGCCTATGCAGTTCTTGTTTGTAAGAGTTGTGAAAGCACGAGATCTGCCTTCTAAAGATATCACGGGAAGTCTTGACCCTTATGTTGAAGTAAGAGTTGGGAACTACAAAGGAGTCACACAGCACTTCGAGAAGAATCAAGATCCAGAATGGAATACAGTTTTTGCTTTTGCTAAAGAAAGAATGCAGTCTTCTGTTCTGGATGTTGTGGTTAAGGATAAGGATATGGTAAAAGATGACTTTGTTGGGATTGTTCGAGTTGATCTGCATGAAGTTCCAACCCGAGTTCCTCCCGATAGTCCATTGGCTCCAGAGTGGTATCGCCTGGAAAACAAGAAAGGCGAGAAAAAGAAGGGGGAACTGATGCTTGCTGTGTGGATTGGTACACAAGCTGACGAAGCATTCCCTGATGCTTTCCATACAGATGTAGCTAGTCCAATAGATATGTCAGTGCCCTCCTCACAAATCCGCGGAAAAGTGTATCATTCTCCTAGGCTGTGGTATGTTCGTGTCAATGTTATTGAAGCACAGGACTTAGTTGTGTCAGAGAAAAATCGTTTTCCTGATGTCTATGTGAAGGCTCATATTGGTAACCAGGTGCTGAAGACAAAACCAATTAGAACTCAAACAATGAATGCTCTGTGGAATGAGGATCTGATGTTCGTTGCTGCTGAACCATTTGATGAACATCTGATTCTGTCAGTTGAGGATCGTGTTGCTTCCAACAAATGTGAGGCCCTGGGAGTGGTCATTATCCCATTAAACACTGTTGAAAGGCGTGCAGATGATCGATTTGTTCGATCAAGATGGTATAACCTCCAAGATCCCGGTTCAGTTGAGATCGAAGAGCCAAAGAGGAAAGACAAGTTTTCCAGTAGGATCAATCTTCGTGTATCACTAGATGGAGGATACCATGTACTTGATGAGTCAACTCATTATAGTAGTGATCTTCGACCGACAGCAAAGCAGCTTTGGAAGCCATCAATTGGTATATTAGAATTAGGTATCCTGAATATTGATGCACTACACCCATCAAAAACAAGAGATGGAAAGGGTACAACAGACACATATTGTGTGGCAAAGTATGGTCACAAGTGGGTGCGGACCAGGACAGTTATTGACAGCTTAAACCCGAAGTTTAATGAGCAATACACTTGGGAAGTCTATGATCCAGCTACTGTTCTCACAGTTGGGGTTTTTGACAATGGACAGCTTGGAGAAAAAGATTCAAATGGCAAAAGAGACATGAAAATTGGGAAGGTTCGTATTCGGATGTCAACACTTGAAACTGGTCGAGTATACACGCACTCTTATCCATTGCTTGTCCTTCACCCGTCAGGTGTGAAGAAGATGGGAGAATTGCATCTTGCTATACGATTTTCATGTGCATCGATGGTCAACATGATGTTTCTGTACTCTAGACCCCTTTTACCAAAAATGCATTATGTGAAACCATTGTCTGTAGCACAGCAAGATCTGCTGCGATATCAAGCTGTAAATATTGTGGCTGCACGGCTAAGCCGTGCAGAACCTCCTCTCAGGAAAGAAGTTGTTGAATACATGAGTGATGCAGATGCACACCTCTGGAGCATGAGGCGCAGCAAAGCAAACTTTTTCAGGCTGATGTCCGTCTTTAATGGATTATTCTCTGTTGGGAAATGGTTCGGAGATGTATGCATGTGGAAGAATCCTATCACGACATCATTAGTACATGTTCTCTTCCTTATGCTTGTCTGTTTCCCAGAATTAATTCTCCCAACAATTTTTCTGTACATGTGCCTAATAGGGCTTTGGAACTATCAGTACCGGCCGAGGTACCCTCCTCACATGGACACAAGAATTTCACATGCTGTTTCAACTCACCCTGATGAGCTTGATGAGGAATTTGACACATTCCCTACGTCACGGAGTTCAGAACTTGTTAGGATGAGGTATGATCGTCTGAGAAGTTTGGCTGGTCGAATTCAAACAGTAGTAGGAGATGTGGCCACGCAAGGGGAGCGAATCCAGGCACTGCTGAGTTGGCGAGACCCACGTGCCACCATACTATTCATTATATTCTGCCTGCTTGCTGCCATTGTGTTGTATGCTACACCTTTTCAAGTGTTTGGTGTCCTGTCTGGCTTTTACGCGATGAGGCATCCCAGGTTCCGTCACAAATTGCCATCAGCACCCCTAAATTTCTTTCGCCGACTTCCAGCTAAGACTGATAGTATGCTATAGGTTGCTGGTGTTATGTCGAAAGTTTTCTGTGATATTTTCTGAAATCTGATTGTAGTCATTGTCCTCAAGGAAAATTTTGCCTTCCAGCCATGGAGTTGAACAGAGCTCGGGGCCTGAAAAATAAGACTTGGAAACCAAAGAATGGTCTGAAGTTTGATTTGTTTGTATATGTTGTGCAGCAAGTTAGTTGCATTCTCAGCACATTTTGCAGTTTTGTCAAGACTCTTGGAATGTAAGATGGATTAGGCAAAGATGCTGAGAACTGCAGTGTTTGTATATCAAATTTGTACTGTTTATTTACTATGAAGTGCATACTGTCCAGTTGATAGTAACATCTTTTCCTTGGATTTTGATATCATCTGAGATAACATTCGTGTTTGACCATTTACCAAAGCAGTGAAATTAAGTACTGTATTTAGGATGAAAGTCCATCAATTCCAACTGGAAAAAAGGATTTTAAACTGAAACAGCCCAGAGATGAGAAAATTTGATGAATTGAAGGCTTATTTTCTATTGTACTGTACTATATTTTCTTTTCCAACAGCTAAATTGGTCAGCATGCAATGAGAAATATCAGTAACTGATGCATCACTACCATGTTTAACTTCGTCGTGATCTCCACGATTTCAGTAGTAGTATAATTGATATCACAGCAAAATATGATATGTTACCATCTCAAAAAAAAAATGTTTACTTGTAACAAGATCAATACTAATGGTTGTAGCCTATTATGTTATAAGAACATAAATGAAAAACAGATGCATATACCGGTTTCCATGTTTAGTCACCAGATGAAACGACATGTTATTCTATTACTGTGCAGAAAAATACAATGTCGTTTTCAGCAACTAAGGAATCTAAGACAACAAAATAATCCTCAAGTTCTTGTCCTGTTATGTTGTGGTACAATATTGCCTTGCTACAGTAGGAAACATGATTAGGTTTAAGCCGTGGAGGTAAAGTTGCAGAGACTGAAAACTCCAATTTAGATGTCTAACATTTGAATACAATACCAGAGAAAAGAAGAGAAAAAAGCTGTGGCCGTCGAGGAAAGTAAAGAAATTATTATCACATATGTCCAATTTTACTATAGCCTAATAACTGGAAAAAATATATAAGAACTCCAATAGACCATTTGACTGCTAATTTCCATAAGTGCATACTTAATCATAAGAAACCTTTCATGCGTTGAGCAGAATATTGGCATTTTGTGTGGACAAAACACTATATAAACCAGTTAGATTATTATAAGTCTTCACACAACTAACATTTGAATACAATACCAGAGAAAGGAAGAGGAACAAAAACCATGAAGAACTCTAGCGGGGGAACATCACTTCTATTCCTGCTGGTTTTTGCTACTCTTACTTACTGCTCAGATTCAAGATTACAGTCTTGTCAGCCGAGTGGCAAAATCAGGGGCACTAAGCCACCTCCGGGACAATGTAACCCGGAAAATGACTCAGATTGTTGCAAACAAGGCAAGATGTACACCACTTACAAATGTTCGCCTCCAGTGACTGGAAACACAAAAGCTGTTTTAACTCTGAATAGCTTCCAAAAGGGTGGAGATGGTGGTGGACCATCAGAATGTGATAATCAATACCATTCTGATGACACTCCAGTTGTTGCCCTTTCAACCGGATGGTATAGTGGAGGAGACAGGTGCCTTAACTATATCACCGTAAGTGCTAATGGCAAAAGTGTGAAGGCTAAAGTGGTAGATGAGTGTGACTCTACCATGGGATGTGACGACGAGCACGACTATCAGCCTCCATGCCCGAATAACATTGTTGATGCCTCTAAAGCAGTGTGGGAAGCCTTGGGTATACCTGAAGGTGACTGGGGCGATTATGATATCACATGGTCTGATGCTTAGTTGCATTAAGTTATAGTATCTATGGTATTGTAAGAATATGAGGATCGTGTATATAATCAGATTATGTGTAATATGTGGCAAAAATACTACTTAATTCTCATGTTATTGCTGTGAAATTACAGTTAATGAAATTATTCTCTTCATATCAACTTCTGAAGCCATTGAAATATGAATAAGTTTCATGCCTATGAAAGAGACATGGTCAGTGAAATCTGAAAAACATGACTTGGTTCAGTGGCTAATCTAAACCTACAACAGTTTGACCAAGATCAATCATTCAATCAATCAATCAATCAGTCAACTAGGCTTCAGAACCAATTTAGTTGAGCTCAGCTATACAAATCTTGTATATCCTTCAGTGGTTGCATCTGTTAGACTATTTTTACACTAACTCATACTTTATCAGTTTGATCCAGCTATACTTTGTAGATACACAGCATCATGAATTGCCATTTTCTGCAGGCTTAGTGATGATTTCAGAGAAGGTAACAAGCAGGTTTTTGAGGTCGCAGAATCTGTTGCAAGGGGCTTTCTAATATTGAATTGGATTAAACGAGTCAGGATGAATTCAAAATCAATAAGGAGAAGAAGGCCTTCAGGTCCAAAAAAGATGGTTGCAGTTCCTGAAAATGAATTGGGCAAGTTGATTATAACTTGGTCCGATGCATAGAATCTAGAACTTGCTTTCCTCATTTTATAGTTCTATCCATTTCATTTACAAAAGCATTTCTTCTATGTATGTAAAGTTATTGGCTGCAGTTCTTTGTAACAATTGATTATGATATCAACGATGAAAATTTTCGCTTTGATCACTGTATTAAGACTTTATGCGATTATATGAGAAATAGTACCTTAAAACCTTAACGCTTTATCAATTTCCATAAGCCTGTTCAACCTAAGGTTTCACTGATCTATTTATGAAAGCAGTTATAAAGGTATTCAGGTGGAAGTCCTCTAATTAATCAGTTGGCAAAGAGGATTTCTGACAGCACATAAACTATCAAAATTTTACGAATTGAAGGCCTTTTTTCTATTCTACTGTACAATATATTCTTTTCCAACAGGCCAATGGAGCAGTATACATGGAAAAGATGATTGCAACAGAATCAAGACTCTAGTTGATGTAGTATGCTGTAGATAAAAGATATACAGATGCTAGATTACAGGTTTTCATGTTTAGCTACAAGATGAACCAGTATGTTGTTCTACACTGTGCAGAAAATACAAAAGTGCTTTCAGCAACTAAAGAATCCAAGACAATAAAATAACTCATCAAGTTCTTGTCTTATTAGGTAATGCTAGAATGCCTTGCTAAAATAGAAAAACATGAGCAGGCATAAGCCATGAAGGTAAAGTTGCTGAGACTGAAAACTCCAATTTAGATATCTATTAGTAGGAAAAACTAAGCTGCGACTGTCACAGAAAGTAAAGCAGTTATAATCACATATGTATTGTCATGGGCGGCTTTCCAGCCATGCCCCATGACCCCTTGGGCGCGCCCCGTGGCGTCCTAGCAAGCCTCCCAATGCCTAGCGCCACGGACGGCCCCGTGGTCTTGGCCGCGCCAAGTGACAAGCGCGTAGGTGCCTCTGTCGCCCCACCGATATCCCTCGCCAGCGCCAAGCCGCAGGCAGAAGCCAACAGCGCCGTGCGCACAGACAACGCCGCGCGCGCAGACCGTGATGCCAAAGACACTGCTGCTGACAACGGACCTGCTGCTGCCTTATAGAAAACTAAGTCATTTTCATTGTAAATATAGAGTAGTTTTAATTCATGTACTTCCATTATGTTTCTCTAGCTTAGTCAAGTCTAGTCTTGTAGCTTTGGATTATTTTTCTTAAGTATTATTAGGGGGGATCAAGCAATCAAAACTTTCTAGCAAGCAAGCAATTCTCTGTACTGGTGTCTCTCCCCCTCGACACCGCGTTGCTTTTCTGTAATAGCTTTCATTAATGCAATCAAGCTTTCTTTCATTCTGAATTCTCATTTCTTTCTCTCAATTGCTCTTGACATTGGTTTTTCCGTACGGCACTGACAATCTCATCTAGCGTACGGAGGGGACCTCAGTTGGCGGACAACAACTGCACTGACATCAGTTTCCTAGCCTTATGTCGCCCTTCCAAGGAATCTCAGGAAGGCGCCGCGTAACAGTTGGTATCAGAGCCTAGGCTCGACATCGGACGAGGGAACGTATTGACATTACCACCATTTCTGGCCATGGTGAATCATGGGGACCGCATTGCGGCTCTCGAAGGGACGGTTGAGGTATTACGGCCTATTGTGGATACGGTGCCTGAACTAAGAACCAGCCTAGGGCAAAGGTTGGACGACCTGGACCGCAGGGTGCTCCAGGCCGAAGTTGACATTGAAAACATCAGTCGCGACTCCAAGGGAGACCGACAGACGACAGCCACAGAGGCAGCCGAAATTTTTGAGAAATTCGAGGGGCTCCAGCAGGAGCGCGCCGAGGATTTAGCCCACAGGGCACAAGAGGCAGACAGGGTGACTGCCATGCAACAAACTATTGACAAATTGACAGACCAGCTCAATGTTGTCAACGCTGCTTTACAGGGCCTACTCCGAGGAGGTAGAAACCAAATCGGGGGCACTGTGAACTCTGCTTCCGCGACACAGAAACTGAAAATTCCTGAGCCAAAGCCATACAGTGGAGCTAGGAATGCCAAGGAAGTGGAGAACTTCATCTTTGACGTCGAACAATATTTCGATGCGATTGGGGGCCTAGAGGAAGCTAAGAAGGTAGCAACTGCTGCCATGTATCTTCAGGGCGATGCTAAGCTCTGGTGGCGGGTGAAGTACGAAGCCATCAAGGCCGGTGAAGATACTCTCGAGACATGGGCAGAACTGAAGCCAGCCATACGCCTACAATTCTTCCCCGAAAATGTTGAATACAATGCAAGGAGAAAACTACGGGAGCTCCGCCAGACAAAATCAGTGCGGGACTACGTGCGGGAATTCTCCGTGCTCATGCTAAGCATACGCGACATGGGGGACAAAGACAAGATCTTCACCTTCCTCGAAGGGTTGAAACCCTATGCCCGTGTGGAGCTACAAAGACAGAGGGTAGATACCCTTCCCAAGGCGATCCAAGCAGCTAAATGCCTTGGGGACTACCAAATGGAAGCTCGGAAGGACAGGCCCCAGCCGCCTGCCCGAGCGGGATTCAAAGGGGGCCAGCCTAGCAATGGTAGCCCTAGCAAAAATGGGGGAGATCGGAACTCAAACAAATCTAGAGCTCTTTCCTCCGGAAGCAACAGTGTTGCGTCAAACAACAATGATTGGACGAGAAAGCCTCCTTCAGGATGTCGTCACTGCGGCGGTCCACATTGGAACAATGAGTGCCCACATGCACAGATGAATGCCCATCAGGCTATTGATGATGGGACTGATGACGACTCAGACGATGCGGACCAGACTGAACCAGTAGGTGCCTTAAATGCAATTGTGGGTTCCATTTCTGAGGCACTAGCGGAGACCAGTGCTGGTATTCGTAAGAAGAAGGACTCATGTCCCGTCACCAGGAAAGGGAAAAAGAAGGCGAATGAAGAGACTCCTCTTAAACAAGAGAGGACCTTAATGTTCGTCGAGATGAAGGTGAATGGCAAGCCCATTCGGGCTATGATAGACACGGGTGCTACCCATAACTACTTAGCCTCGACTCAGGTGGAGCGCCTTGGACTAGTTGTAGGGAAAGGTAAAGGTAGCGTCAAGGCTATCAACTCACCTCCCCAGCCAGTGGGTGGAATAGCTAAAGAAGTACCGGTGAAGCTTGGGCCTTACGAAGGAAAATTCAACCTGCGAGTGGTGATTATAGATGACTTCGAGTTGATTGTTGGGCTGGAATTCCTAAGGCAAACCAACACCATGCCTGTACCATTTGCAGACATGCTACTGATGATGGGTACCAATAGGGCCAAGCCCTGCATTATCCCGTGCCTGCCCATGAAGATGGCCGTTGAGAACATCTCGGCCTTGCAGTTGAAGAAGGGAGTCAAAAGGAATGAACCTACGTTCCTGGCAACCCTCTGCATTGAAGATATAGAACGCTCCTCGGGTCCCATTCCTGAACCCGTGAAGGAGTTACTACTGGAGTTTGAAGATGTCATGCTACAAGACATGCCAAAGCGGCTCCCGCCTAGGCGCACTGTGGACCATGAAATTGAGTTGGTGCCGGGCGCGAAGCCACCTGCCCGGGCGCCTTACAGAATGTCACAACCCGAACTCACCGAGCTTCGGAGACAATTGACGGAAATGCTAGATACAGGGATCATTGTACCCTCCAAGTCCCCATATGGGTCCCCTGTTCTATTCCAAGAAACATGATGGCAGCCTGCGACTCTGTGTGGATTATCGAGCTCTAAACAAAATCACCGTGAAGAACAAGTACCCTATTCCCCTAATGGCGGACTTGTTTGATAGACTGGGTGGTGCTACGGTGTTCACCAAGATAGATCTGAAGACAGGTTATTGGCAAGTTCGGATTGCAGAGGGTGATGAACACAAGACGACTTGTGTGACAAGATATGGGTCGTACGACTTCCTGGTCATGCCATTCGGCTTGACCAACGCCCCTGCTACGTTTTGCACTCTCATGAACCAAGTCTTCCGAGAGTACATCGACGAATTTGTGGTGGTCTACTTAGATGACATTGTGGTATATAGCCAGACATTGGAAGAACACCTAGTACACTTGCGGAAGGTCCTAGCTCGGTTGCGGGAACATGAACTATATGCAAAGTTATCCAAGTGCTCCTTTGCTCAGAAGCAAATTGATTTCCTCGGACATGTCATCGAGGAAGGACGCATCAAGATGGACCAACAGAAAATCCAGGCCATCACAGATTGGCCGCCACCTAAGGATGTCCACGCCTTGAGGGCGTTCCTTGGCCTATGCAACTTCTACCGGCGGTTTGTGAAGAACTACTCACTTATCGCAGTGCCATTGACAGAACTCCTCAAAAAGGTCACACCTTGGGACTGGG